CAACGAGTGTGAAAATCCCGTACAAAGCACTTTCCATGCTGTAATTTGTTTATTTTATACATACTGAGATTTTTTTTATTTATCCAGCTTTAATTGGTTCTCTAAAATAATTACAAAACTCCTGTATTAAATTCTCTTCGAAAAATTAAGTTTTCACTAAAATCGACATGTGAAAATATCACCAATCAAAAGTCATAACTGGTGCAAAGGATAGCAAACATTTCAATTCTTAATTAAATAAGGAAATAACGAAAGAAACAAAGCCAAGTCAAGTTTCTCACTGCGTAGGGCTGTCTTCGTCTGACGATTCAAACAAGACCTTGATGCGTTTGAAGCTTCGTGTAATCCAAGAACTATAAGTAATCTTAACTATTTGCAGGAGCCCATCAAATGGAGCCTCCATCTCCCATACAAGCCCTTGGAGTCAACCCTTTCCCGAGTAGATTTATAATTAGAACGGTTCCCAAGGGAGACTTCGCGCGCCGACGGTGGGAAGAGCCAATCACAACCACGAAATGACACTGCTATTGTACTTAATCAAACAGCAGGAAATTCGGTGTTGACAGGCCAAACACAATCATGAGCTAGTGAAACGTGACTTAAGCGTTTTCATCCCTCAGAGATTTTCCTTTTTTTCTTTCTAGCGGGTAGATTATACTGTGGAAAGTTTTAAACTCTGACTATGTTAATCTTAATTTTGGTTGCTTGTGTAACATTAAGAGGCCATGTAGGTGGTCTATTACATGCTTAATGATTAACTACTACCTGCAGTCTGTAGTTCTGACAGGATTCGTTTTCTTTAGCCAATTTTTTTGAGCGTCAAGGTTCTTATTTCGGCTAAATGACTCTATATTAATTAAATTTCTAGTTTTTCAAGGGTTTTTTTTTTCCGAAATGCGTTTATCTGAATAAATACTTGTAGTCCTTGTGGTTGTTTTGTCCATCAGCTAGTGTGATGATTCCCCGCTATGTTTTGTAACGCCGGGCCCAGCCATTGTTTTCTCGCAAAAAAGTGATCTACAGATGCGAATTCGAAGGAAGGAATTGAGCCTAAACTTCTACATTGACCGCTGAAAATTGTCCTGTTAGTCAACCATAATTCTTTTGGCGCAGATACAATCCATTTTGTTTTTCTTGAGATAAGTGGGTCATTGGACTGGAGCGCGATGTCACAAATTCCTCCATTAGCAAATTACGGTTGAGTTAACTTCACGGTCGAGCAACTGTTGTCTTCTGTTCAAATTTTCAAGCGCTAGTTTTATCAGGCAACTCTCATGGTGATACAAGTCAGTTGTATAGGAAGACTGCAATTTCTCAAATTTCGGAACTGAAGCATTCCTCGTTACTTGCTACTTAGGTCATCGCTTTTGCACGCGGTGCTTAACTGGCGAAATCCACTCCTCGGTGATGACAAAAATCATATGATCCTGGCACTTTTTCGTCGCTGATCATCGAAAAGTTTCAAATCGTCCACAGAACGTTTAATCGTCGACTCTTTTCAAGATGCATGCTTAAATGTGGGATGTATGACGGCAAAAAAAAAAACACTCGCAAAGATAACCTTTCCGTGATCCTCAGTTCGCTGCCTTTGTCCCATCGCTTCATGCTCAGTCTCAGTCGGGTAATTCATTAACTTTTATTTCATGATATCCAGATCCCAGCGGCTGTAAAATTGTAAAAATGGACGTAAAGGAATAAAGGAAAACGGTCGAAAGACGGGCTTCTGAGTTCGACTTCACCCAATTTTATTTTTTCACCGTGACATACGAGACTCACGGAAATATGACACTTTTCGCGGGAAACTAGCCGTTCTATTTATAAATCTACTCGGGAAAGGGTTGACTCAAGAAATTAATGGAGATGGAGGCTCCATTTGATGGGCTCCTGCTATTTGTTCTCAATGCACAATTGAAAATGAGTGAATTTAAGTACAATGGCCACTTTCAATTATAAGCTTAAGCTTAAATGGTTAAATGAAAGGCAAAGTAGCTCCAACAAAAAGCACAACAAAAGCTTACGTCTCGTTCTGTTTATCCCTTTCCGCTGTTGTTTCGCCGGTTCTTGTTTTTTTGGTCTTCGATAAACTTGTCTATAGGTTTTTCTAGAGACACAAATCTTCTTGATTGTTCAGCCATCCTCAAAAATATCTCCTAGCTCTTGATAAGTTTGAATTACGAACAACTCGAGTACACCGAAAATATTATCTTGTCAAAGCTGCCCGACAAAGCTACCCGCGATGACCGCGAAAAAGCCCGCGAAAACACAATTCACTTAAACCGTGGTTTGTGATTGGACGAAACGATTTTTTCACGTTTGAGAAACTCGTTTCGCCTCTCTGATTGGTCGAAGTAAAATCCGAAACGCTTTTTCACACAGCAAAATTTGATGCGAAAATCTCAGTATATATAAAATAAATAATAATTCGCATCCAAACTTAAACATCTGTATTGTTGTACCTGCATTTTGAAACAAAACGTGCATTAGATCTAAAACAAGAGCAAGAAAAAGAACTTCGCGGGGGGTCTCGGGTGTAAATATTTCATTTGCTGCTAGCTACATTGTAGCTAGCTGGAATTAGAGAATTTAGCTTGGCACTATATCAGGAAATGACCAGCCTAAGGAATGTAAATATTCCAATAAAGTTGGGCGTTTTTATCACAAATCGCGTAATTTTCGAGTTAAGCCGCGGGACTATTAGGGTAGCCGTTAGCACCTACTATAAGTTGGGGTCCTCATAAAAGTAAAATTAATAAAAATATATAAAAATAATGATAATTAAAACATGCAAACTAATAAAGATAAATATTTCCGCTGCCAGCATTTTCATTTAAGGTCGGTTTTAAATGGCTAATTAGCAGAGTCTTCTTTATTTTATAATGGTTATCCAATCATCTTCTCGCCAATATGCCAAAGTGATCCTATTTTAAGTAACAACCAGTTGACGTGACTTGGTTTGCAACAGCAGATTATGAAAGCTACTTGCAATCACTTAACTATATATGACGGTCCCTAAAACTAGCCTTACATGCAACCTTGGGCATTTGAGCACAGGTGAGTCACTCTGTCCTTGGGCTCTTGGCTATAGCATATGGCGCTTACCGTAGGCTAATCGTTTGTTCCGTAGGCGTTTGTCCGGAAGAAATTCATCTGGCGCGCTCTACAAGCTAAAATATAGTCCCAATTATTGTTTAATAATGATATTACTACTGGTAGTTTTGAGAAAGATGGCTGACATATATCGTAACTCATAAGTCATAGGCCACAATGTGATTACACAAAAACTATCATTTTTATTTCCGTTGATATCTTTCAGAAAGTTGGGCGGTTTCAAATGCAGTTTGCTTGTATTCTCAAGCTTGCTTTTATGGCAGCTCTTGTCAGGCTCAGCTCCCAGACCAATACAAGAACAGCATCAAGAGGTTTGTATTTCAAAAACCGGTTTCCTTGTACTTTAAATCGCATAAGTTTAAGTCCGTTAGCACTATCGCTTTCATCTATTTTAACGATATTGTCGATTTCATGATCTTTCATTGCCTTCGAGGTTCCAAATCCAATAATGCATTGGAAACTGGGCCTCGCTTGAAAAACGATTGGCTTTATCATATGTTTTTATTTGCTTTTCCGTTTACTTTCGAATTATGCTTGTTTGGTTCGTTTAGCTGATCGGCTTTCAGTGTATGATTAAATAGCCATTGAACTCTCTTTGCCTTCTTTGCCCGCCAGGTCGAGTTTCAAACGTCAAACGCTATTGAAATTGTGCCGAATTAGCCACCACCCCTATCTCTTCCAAGGCAAGCAAGCTGAATCAGTTGATCGTGTTTTAAAGTTTACTGATTTTTTATCCTGTCGATTGGCCGAAAAAAGCCAAGGAGGAAATGATGACTTTTAAAACTATTTAAGATATGGTAAACGTGCAGCTTGCAACCATCGAGTTATGGTGCACGCGGGAGGTTGCTAAGCACGAAATCTCGAGGCGTAGCTGACAGCAACTCTAGCTTCTTGAGTGCTTAGCAGACCTCCCAAGTGCATCCATAACTCAATGGTGGCACAGATGAAAAGTTTACCATTTCTTTTGTAACATAATCAAAAGAGAAAACATATTCTATTTTCCTTCGAATGAGTCAGTCATCGGTGCTTTAAACGAGTCAGTGCAGCTAGTATTTAAATTACAGTCAGCATAAAAGCCCTTAAAACATATTTCAAATAGTCTATTTGAACTCTGTTTGTAGCAGTGTTAGTGGTTCTATGCCAAAAATACATTTTCAATACCCTATTTTAATCATATTTATTAAACAAAATACATTGTAAATTGATGAGAGGTTTACCTCTAGATGAAATACAATTTAACTACACTCGAGATATATTTCAAACAGGGGCGAAAATTTAATTTTTTTGTCAAATAGGATTAAAATACAGGAAAATAGTGTTCAAATACTGAAAATACATTTTAAATACTTTAAAATCAGTTTCAAAATACATATGGTTTGGTAAGGGTAGGTTCCTCAGCAATCGTCCCATCAAGTTCTTCATCGGGTAAGTCTGTCTAAAGACAGTAGCGGCTTAGCGGTTAGTTATTGAACATTACGTAAGAATGAAGGAAACTTCTAAATTAATCCCTCTTTTAATGTAGAAACAAATAATTTACGTTCAAATTGGCCACTAGGTTTCTCAACGATCCTCCCATCAAGTTCTTCATCAGGTAAATCTGTCTAAAGAGAGTAGCGGATTAGCGGTTAGTTATTGAACATTACGTAAGAAAGAAGGGAACTACTAAATTAATACCTCTTTTAATGTAGAAACAAATAATTTACCTACAAATTTGCCACTAGGTTCCTCAACACTCGTGCCAACAAGTCCTTCATCTGCGGCCGGTAAGTCTGTCTAAAGAGAGTAGCGGATTAGCGGTCAGTTATTGAACATTACCTAAGAATGAAGGGAACTACTAAATTGATACCTCTTTTAATGTAGAAACAAATAATTTACCTACAAATTTGCCACTAGGTTCCTCAACACTCGTGCCAACAAGTCATCTGTCAGGTAAGTCTGTCTAAAGACAGTAGCGGATTAGCGGTCAGTTATTGAACATTACGTAAGAATGAAGGGAACTACTAAATTAATCCCTCTTTTAATGTAGAAACAAATAATTTACCTACAAATTTGCCACTAGGTTCCTCAACAGTCGTGCCAACAAGTCATCTGTCAGGTAAGTCTGTCTAAAGAGAGTAGCGGATTAGCGGTCAGTTATTGAACATTACGTAAGAATGAAGGAAACTTCTAAATTAATCCCTCTTTTAATGTAGAAACAAATAATTTACCTACAAATTTGCCACTAGGTTCCTCAACACTCGTGCCAACAAGTCATCTGCCAGGTAAGTCTGTCTAAAGACAGTAGCGGATTAGCGGTCAGTTATTGAACATTACGTAAGAATGAAGGAAACTTCTAAATTGATCCCTCTTTTAATATAGAAACAAATAATTTACCTACAAATTTCCCACTAGGTTCCTCAACTATCGTCCCATCAAGTTCTTCATCAGGTAAGTCTGTCTAAAGACAGTAGCGGATTAGCGGTCAGTTATTGAACATTACGTAAGAATGAAGGAAACTTCTAAATTAATCCCTCTATTAATGTAGAAACAAATAATTTACCTACAAATTTGCCACTAGGTTCCACAACAGTCGTGCCAACAAGTCATCTATCGGGTAAGTCTGTCTAAAGACAGTGGCGGATTAGGGGTTAGTTATTGAACATTACGTAAGAATGAAGGAAACTTCTAAATTAATACCTCTTTTAATGTAGAAACAAATAATTTACGTTCAAATTTGCCACTAGGTTTCTCAACAATCGTTCCATCAAGTTCTTCATCAGGTAAGTCTGTCTAAAGAGAGTAGCGGATTAGCGGTTAGTTATTGAACATTACGTAAGAATGAAGGAAACTTCTAAATTAATACTTCTTTTAACGTAGAAACAAATAATTTACGTTCAAATTTGCCACTAGGTTTCTCAACAATCGTCCCATCAAGCACTTCATCAGGTAAGTCTGTCTAAAGAGTGTAGCGGATTAGCGGTCAGTTATTGAACATTACGTAAGAATGAAGGAAACTTCTAAATTAATACTTCTTTTAACGTAGAAACAAATAATTTATGTTCAAATTTGTTACTAGGTTCCTTAACCGTCGTGCCAACAAGTCCTTCATCTGCGTCTGGTAAGTCTGTCTAAAGAGAGTAGCAGATTAGCGGTCAGTTATTGAACATTACGTAAGAATGAAGGAAACTTCTAAATTGATACCTCTTTTAATATAGAAACAAATAATTTACCTACAAATTTCCCACTAGGTTCCTCAACTATCGTCCCATCAAGTTCTTCATCAGGTAAGTCTGTCTAAAGACAGTAGCGGATTAGCGGTCAGTTATTGAACATTACGTAAGAATGAAGGGAACTACTAAATTAATCCCTCTTTTAATGTAGAAACAAATAATTTACCTACAAATTTGCCACTAGGTTCCTCAACAGTCGTGCCAACAAGTCCTTCATCTGCGGCCGGTAAGTCTGTCTAAAGAGAGTAGCGGATTAGCGGTCAGTTATTGAACATTACCTAAGAATGAAGGGAACTACTAAATTGATACCTCTTTTAATGTAGAAACAAATAATTTACCTACAAATTTGCCACTAGGTTCCTCAACAGTCGTGCCAACAAGTCATCTGTCAGGTAAGTCTGTCTAAAGACAGTAGCGGATTAGCGGTCAGTTATTGAACATTACGTAAGAATGAAGGAAACTTCTAAATTAATCCCTCTATTAATGTAGAAACAAATAATTTACCTACAAATTTGCCACTAGGTTCCTCAACAGTCGTGCCAACAAGTCCTTCATCTGCGGCCGGTAAGTCTGTCTAAAGAGAGTAGCGGATTAGCGGTCAGTTATTGAACATTACGTAAGAATGAAGGAAACTTCTAAATTAATCCCTCCATTAATGTAGAAACAAATAATTTACCTACAAATTTGCCACTAGGTTCCACAACAGTCGTGCCAACAAGTCATCTGTCAGGTAAGTCTGTCTAAAGACAGTAGCGGATTAGCGGTCAGTTATTGAACATTACGTAAGAATGAAGGAAACTTCTAAATTAATACCTCTTTTAATGTAGAAACAAATAATTTACGTTCAAATTTGCCACTAGGTTTCTCAACAATCGTTCCATCAAGTTCTTCATCAGGTAAGTCTGTCTAAAGAGAGTAGCGGGTTAGCGGTTAGTTATTGAACATTACGTAAAAATGAAGGAAACTTCTAAATATAAATCCCTCTTTTAATGTAGAAACAAATAAAATAGTTTACATACAAATTTCTCACTAGGTTCCTCAACAATCGTCCCATCAAGTTCTTCATGGGGTAAGTCTGGCTAAAGACAGTAGCGGATTAGCGGTTAGTTATTGAACATTACGTAAGAATGAAGGAAACTTCTAAATTAATCCCTCTATTAATGTAGAAACAAATAATTTACGTTCAAATTTGCCACTAGGTTTCTCAACAATCGTTCCATCAAGTTCTTCATCAGGTAAGTCTGTCTAAAGAGAGTAGCGGGTTAGCGGTTAGTTATTGAACATTACGTAAAAATGAAGGAAACTTCTAAATATAATTGATACCTCTTTTAACTGCGGTAGAAACACTGAAATAGTTTACATACAAATTTCTCACTAGGTTCCTCAACAATCGTCCCATCAAGTTCTTCATGGGGTAAGTCTGGCTAAAGACAGTAGCGGATTAGCGGTTAGTTATTGAACATTACGTAAGAATGAAGGAAACTTCTAAATTAATCCCTCTATTAATGTAGAAACAAATAATTTACCTACAAATTTGCCACTAGGTTCCTTAACCGTCGTGCCAACAAGTCCTTCATCTGCGTCTGGTAAGTCTGTCTAAAGAGAGTAGCGGATTAGCGGTCAGTTATTGAACATTACCTAAGAATGAAGGGAACTACTAAATTGATACCTCTTTTAATGTAGAAACAAATAATTTACCTACAAATTTGCCACTAGGTTCCCCAACAATTCGCGACCCATCACGTTCTTTTTCATTTGTCTTTCTAAAGGCAGTAGTAGCTCGGAGTAGCGGTCGGTCATTGAACATTATTTAGATGTTAATCAACTTCTTGATTTTATTATACACTTTACTATTTAAGTATTTTTTGATTTGTGACTATCTTGAGGTAAAGTTAGATTCTGTTAATAAATTCTGTTAATTAATAAATTCAACAGAACTGGTCGCGTTTATTAAAGGTGGTGCCGAAGTTATCCGAGGAATTCACGAAAACATCACCATGAACGCCTCGCTTTCTTATGATCCTGATTTAGGAACTAGAAATAATTCAGGAATGAACTTTACCTGGCATTTCGGCCAGATCAAAGGAAACAATTATTCATTCCCGCTGCCTGGCATAAGTGGTATACCCGTTCAATACTTCGCGGAGAAAGGTTTCGGACCGGTTGTCATCCTCGCCAAGAAACCCCTCTTGCTAAATCAGACCTACATTGCAAAGTTGGTCGTCACTAAAGACCGTCGAACATCAAGTGTGTTTCAAGTTATTAGATTGCAGAATGGAGAACCACCTAAAGTTTCGCTAAGGTACACTTTTAGACAGTCCTTATTTTTCTGTTTTGCCCGTAACTCTAGCTGTCACTGATTATCAATAAGCCGGGCAGTAGAAATGTCCTACTTGACGCAGTAAATGTGAGTGATGAAAATGGTGGAGAAAACATGCATATATGTATGCATATGTATGCAAATGTAAGTTAAGGCAAGGTCTGTAATATTTATTGCCAAGGAATGCGTGGTTCAGCCTCTTTTTCTCGGACTCTCAGGGGCATATTCAGTGGGTGGCAAGAAAAAGAGCGCGACGTTCCGAAGATTCATTCGCGCCAGTTATCCTGGCCCTGTTGACTGTTTCAGGGTCTCCGTGGATATTTTGATCTAACTAAGGGAAACTACAGTAAAATCTGGGGTAAAGCTAGTCTCACTTTGTAATAACAGCTCAGTGATAAAAATAAAAAATTTGTCCCGCAAATCTCACTATTCGCACTATTTTTATGGAGTCTGTTGCATCAACGCAATACCGAGACACAAGTGTAAACTATTGTGAGAAAGATTATTAACATGCCCTACAATGTATGTATTTCTTTTTTATATTTAGCTGTCTTCTAAATTGTGGAGTTACAAAAAGTCCGTCAGTTAGGTTGAGTATCAAGTCACAGTGCCAAGGTTCTCAGTGCTCCAAAATATTCTCCTACGAATGGACGCTCTATGAAGAGAACAAGTCCGCCTCAAATACTGATCCAATATGGCGAAAGGTGAATATATTGCAAAGCATTACAGCTACGCCGCTAAACTCAAGTAATATTGCCATAAAAGAAAACTCGTTGGGTGGGAGAAAGAACTATCGATTGATGTTATTTGTCAGAACTAAGGACGGTATTGAAGGATTAAGTGCTTATGACATTGTTACCGCTACGCCCCCTTCAGGAGGAAGGTGCGTGATCATTCCATCCAGCGGCATCTCATTAAAGACTGATTTCAGCCTGAGCTGCAGCGACTGGGTCAGTGACGCTACCCCTCTGACGTACCAGTTTCAATATCGACTGGACAACGGTCTGCACAATATGGTATACTACGGAGTAAATAACACCGTTATTTCATGGCTACCCCCCGGAAAACGATCACATAACTACAAAGTCGAGATTCGTGCTACTGTAACCAACAATTATGGAGCTTCAGCACCGACTGTTAATATTTCTGTCCGGGTGAGTATATAGCCCGTTTCGCCATGAATCCTTAGACAGTTAAGTCCTGGGTCGAGTTGTTCACAGTCTCGTTAACCCTAATCCTGAACAAAAAGCATTTAAGTTGTCATGTTAACAAACCCTAGGTCTGACCTAATTGATTTTCAAACAACTTGATCCTGTTTATTTCCTAGTGATGATCAAGTACCAGTCAAAATCTACCTGGGAACCGCTAATAATCACACTGCACACCGTTCACGGTTAAGTCAGCGGTATTTTAAAGGAGCCCACAACCACATCACCCCAGTAGTCATAGAAAGTTCTAGCGGTCTAGTTACATCATTATAACTTATTATTACCGCTTGCGCATGCGCGTCCGACTCCCCCCATGTAAGGTAATCCAAGAGTGTCTTCTGGATTCCACGCTATGGATTCCAGATTCCAGGTACCGGATTCCAGATTCTTTGTCAATGGGTCTTGGAATCGGACTTCAATCGTTGATGGAATTTCTGGTTTCTTAAGCTGTATTCCGCCCGGCTCGCTTCGCTCGCCAATTTTTGGTGCCGTTTCACTCCTTTGTCAATTTTTCTCTTCAGGGGAGCCTGGTGCCAGGCTAATGATTCCGGATTCCTTAAGGAAAACAAAAATCATGGAATCCTGATTCCCTTACATGTGTCGATTCGACCGTCTGTCGTACTATATTTTTTTGATATCGATGATAGACACTGGGAGTAAAACTGAGACAAAGTAAAATGTTAAGACATTTGTGGGCCATGGAAAGAAATAAGAACGAGCTCTTCGCGAAGTGTGACTCTGGACGGTGAATAGGCGCTTCGAGCACAGGTGAAACTGCGTGGTGTAGGGAAGGGAATTAAAACGGGAGGCTCTCCCTCCCCTTCCATTGCCTTGCCTCCCCACCCCCTCCCCGCCCATTTTGCCTGTTTGCTTTTACGCACTCACGCCTTCTCCTCGTCACATTTCCCAGGCAACTAGAAACCTTTCAAAAGGCTAAGGCCTCGTGATTCGTTTGTTGTCGTCGCAGGTTGAACTATCGCAACACTTGAGCCTAGCGAACTTTACCAGTGTCTTGACAGCTAATGATAGCTTTTTCAATCAAGTGATCGAAGATGGTGATCTGAACAAGGCAGCACAAATATCCCATACAATTCTAGAAGCGATTTCGCAGGATTCGTCCCTCAGTACAGAGGAAAAAACGAAGGTAATAGTTTTTAAAAATAATGTTTATAAGGATCCGCTCAAAACTGAAAAATACCGGAACCGACGTTCAGAATCTTTCCATTACTAATTAATGTCCCCTTTGACTGAAATTCATGTGGCCATTAAGAGCCTCTTTGGATTGAAACACCCTATAAAAGAAATTAACGGAGTCTCGAGAAAAGGACTACAGCTAATGCTGACTCAGTCTCAAGCAATTATTCATCCAGCCACGATGTTGGCAACTATTTTAGTGGAAATACATGGTGTTTCAAAAGTTCGTTCCGATTTTTTTTCGCTCAAATTTCACTGATTATTAAAAATACATTTTGTAAAACTTAGTATGTTATTCATTATTCATTTAACATTGAATAACCGAAATATCGTTAACCAGAATGTCTTTCTTTGTGTTTTCTTGCATTTTCTAAGTGGTGAGGTATAGAATGTACGAGCTCCCAAAGTGCAGGAGAAGCATAGTCACTGCCTTAGCTCGACCAGTTGTTTGGGGGCTGGTTCTTTGTATGTTTTCTCGTCAACGAACGATAATCCAGATGGTTTCCAGAGGGTTCACATCACGTGAGTTTGCTAGCCGGTCGCCCTTTGCTATGAAGTTTCAAATCCTTCTGACACCATGTCTGCATGTGCGCCGCCTTTTTCTCTTCAAGGCTTTCCAACCTTTGCTGGTCATATATCTTCATACCGTTGTGCTCGAAACTTCGATATTGTGAAGTTGAAGTTTTTTTTTTACCATTCTGTCTTGTAGATTTATTACGCATATACTTGCAGCTTTTTCGATAACATTTCTCACAAATTTAAAAAAAGACGGCCATACACTCCTTGGTTTGTCTTCTAAAGTCTTTACCTTCGACCACTTGTTCACTTATATCATTCAGACCTTAGTCAACAGTTTAACAATTTCTTTGACTGAATGGCCAAAGAACTAAAACAATAGATGCCTCAGCTTTAACGCAAACAGCGTAGGCCTTCATTTTCGTGACAGAGTGGAGAAAATTAAAGAAAAGGGAAGAAAGGCGAAAATAGAAAACCTGCAAAATGGGCAGAAAAAATATGGCGGGAAGAAACTCGCGTACGTGCAAATTGGGGCAAAAATTCAAAAATATTATAATTTCTTCAAATTTTAGTTTGAAATTGCTTTGAACGGTTATTTAGATAAATTTCTTCCCTGAATCAGTTTACATTTGCCTAAAGAAGCATTAAACACTTCGCGCAAAATACAATTTACAAGCGGAACGAACTTTTGAAACACCCTGTATACCCTCACACGGTTTTTAAAACTTTTTACTGAGGCTAATTAGTGGAAATTCGTCGTCTCGGCTTGGAAGAACGCCATGAAATCAGTCAGTTAAGCTGCCAATACCTTTAAAGTTGGTAAGTATATTAATTTCATTTACCGCGCTCTTTCCAGCAGTGTCCATGGACATTCGCTTACTAGTTTTATCTAAAGTTAAAAACGCCGAGAAAGGGTCAATTTCGATTAATGTTTAAGTGTAATCAGTTTTGCTAATTATCATAGATTCAGGAACTGATTGTGGAGAAAATTGCCGCATTGCAAGTTAAGAGTCTGCCAGACCTGCTGCAGTCCTCTTCTGTGATTGGCTCAGCCATTCAGGACACTGAAACAACATCTGTAAAATCTCTGGTGAGGTATAATTTACCCATGAAGTCGCCATAAGCGCCCTACTAAAACAGGGCAGGTCAAGAGTATGTTTTTATAACTTTTGCTATTTGTTTCGTCACATCATGCACAGTCTAAAACGTTTGAATTCCAGGTGCCACTCCCTCCTCCTTCGCGCTTTTTCTGCCATTAACTTCATGTTCAAAAGTAATAAGTGCTTAATGGCTACGTTTTTTGGGGATTCCTTCTTCGGTTTCCCCTGAATTTTCATTGTGTTGTTCTCAACTTTTCCAGCAATCTGAGAGCAGAGCCTCCTTTTGTCTTCTCCTTGATCGAGAAGGAGAAAAAGAGGCTCTGGCTGAATCGCGCCAAGCCTTTGAAGTCATCATAGCCCAAACTTCTGAACTGGTCAATCTTATCTTCTCTCGTCAAACTGTTTTTTTTAGCCACGAGCATTCTTGTATTAATATAACGATGATCATATCTGAGCCCGCTGTACCAGACACTCGGCTATTAGGCCTGGGTTCTGTATCCTAGCAACATGTAGCGCATCCTCAACAAAGTCCTTACTCGATTTCATTGTTGACCCCAACAAAATATACAGGAGATAGTAAAATAAACTAAAATAACTAATTTACAACTCCAATAGCTAACAACAACAACAACAACAAAAACACTAACGATACAAAATAAATAAATAAATAAATAGCTATAGTTCTTACAACAATTCCTACAAATCAATAAGATCACTAAGATAACAATGACACTATGTCACATCTAAACTAAGCGGTTATAACAAATAACAGTTATGACAATTGGGAATTACAATTAATTTAAGCAGGCAATCAGAGGAAGAAGACAAAAATATTACCTATTTCAAACAAACACAAACCCACCTAAGGCTTTGATGAGTTCACCAGGCCACTAAGGCCCAAAGGGTTTTGATTTGTTATTTCTTAAGATCCAATCTACATTGCTTCTGTCTCAGTATAGTTGATTTTTAGACCAGAAATATCTTTAAATGACTTCAACAGACTAAGGAACGCTGAGGCGGAGTTCTCGTCAGCTAATACAGCTGTGGTACTGGCGTCTGGGTATTGTAGTAATTTAGTTTCTTCTTTGCCAATGGAAATTCCTTTTATTTGAGTTTTGTCTTGTTGAAACTGTCAATACCTCTGCCGCGAGAACAAAAAGATAGGGAGAGAGCGGGTCACCCTCTCTTACACCTCTGTCAAGACGGAAATTATCAGACGAAAGACCATTGTTGATTACACAGCTCTGGATATTGTTATAAAACACAATGAATAAAATCTCGACCAAAGTTGAAAGCCTCTAAGCAGCTGACAAGAAAATCCCATTCAATGCTGTCGAAAGCTTTCTGAAAATCAACAAAAATCAAAAGTCCTGGAATATTTTCCTTAACAGTAAAATCCATAATGTCGAATATGGATCTCACCGTCTCACCAATATAACGATCTTCCACCTAACCCTAGACCTCACTCTTTTGACTCTGTGTCGTTGTCATGCGCAAGAAAGAAGGGCACTGCAGGGGTGGAGAATGACTCGATTTTTGCAGAGTCTTTCTTGAGTACGAAAAAATCGAACAAACGAAAGAAACGCTCTGCTCGCAGGGTGCTTCTCCAGGTGAACAATTGACAACAATTCGCAACATCGTGGAAGCGGTAATTTGTTAGCAGTCCGTTAGAAAACTCGCAATAAAATTTCTTTCTCTAAACGTTCGCTTTTTTCAGGAGTTCGCCCTACCTGTTATTAACTCCATGGCTTCACTGCTCTGGAATGTTGCCCAGCAGAAACAAATAGACGACATACCGCTGATTAGCCTTTCAGCAGAAAACTTAGGCTCATGCGTCAACAACGTACTGAAGAGTGCATCAATGATCGCATCAACAAAATTTGGGTCCAGTCTTCAAGAACAGGTATTTATTTCGGTAGTCCTCTACTAGTTGGCGCAAACACGTCGGAAATCTCAGTGCAATTCCACAGCAAATGTAGTGATAGTATTAATGCTTGCCTGGTATCCTGTTGCTGTTATACACAAAATCAGAAGCCTACGATTGAAAGTTTGTTCTTGTAATATCGCTATCTTGCTCAAGTTTTTGATCACTCATCTGTTGTAATTTGATGATTTATTCTTACTTCGGCGGAGCGCGAAGGAAAGGATTCGCGACGCTCAGGAAGTTCCAAAGTTGGGGACCAGATTGGGCTTGAAAAGTCCATAGGTTTTCAGCTTTATTGGGCTATTTGACGAAGTGAGAGCCGAATTAGTTCGAGATCAGTTCGATTTCTCTGTTATTCGAGGAAGAAAGAATTACTTTCTTGGCTTGCCCGGGGTTTGAACCGACTCACCTGTGTTACCCGTCAGATCAGAGACCATGAGCCCCTACGTCGCGGGATTAGCCGATTGCGCCACTAAAACCCACGGTAACTTGAGGTGGGAAACATGGCTATAAGTCATGCACGAGGTACGGGATAAGTTGGTGACCTTTCGACTTGTTCTTATTTATTATTCTGGCTAGAAATATAGACTGTAAAAGTATTTTACAGAAAACATTGAATCAATTTGGGCTAGTAGCTTCAAAATATGAGCGAAAATCGAGATACAAGAGCAATTTTCGGTGCGTCTCACTGCGCAGACGAGTTGCTTTGATATGTCGATCACGTCATATGTTTCTCCAAAAAGCGTTTCAGTTTAGCTTTTTATCGTGGAAACCTTGTCTTTTTCTCCTGGAATCTCGCTTGGAATTCGTTATAGACCGTGGAAAACCCAAATTTTTTAGTTTGCCGGTTAAATTCCCCGCCGATAGATCAAAATTTCAGTTCTGTACTACTACCACCCGAAGTAAGCTTATAAGAATTTTCACTCGAACTGTACTGCCGTGTTTGTGTTTCTTTCTAAATCCAGCGGCCGAAATAATGCTAAGTATACTTTTCAATACACTTTTAAAGATAACACCGCACAATACGCAAAAAAGAAGAAGAAGAAGAAAAGAAAGAACAAAGTAGGGATCTTCACGACGATTTTCGCGGTGGGTTACCCATCCAGTTCCTAACCCTGCCCGACAAGGCTTAACTTGAGTGGCGCTACTATAAAAAAACGAGTTTCGCGAGAGTAATTGCGAGATACGTGTTTCTAGTTTATGTTGCAATGTTGTACATGAATTTTCCTCGGTGTGGAGATTGTGCATTTTCAGCAAGTTTTGTAAGGGAGTGTACTGATGTTAGTTCATAGTTACGTTGCTGTAGAAGGTGTGGAGTTAACTGTATATAAGGAAAGTGTTGTTGTAAAGAAAGTAAAGGAAGTGGGACTGAGGTCTTGCCGTGCGCAATTATTTATGACAGAAATTATAATCGAATTGGGTTACAGCCATGCACCTAGCAGACTTCCGGTGAAGAAGTTAAGACGTCTGTTAAACAAAAGCCGAAAAGTAAGGGTATTTGTATGGAAGGGTATCTGGAAAAATATCATTTCTTACTATTCCTTCGCATTCACAATTAATCCACTACCCCGACACCACGGTGTACGCCCCCATAGCGTCTTGTTACAAAGAGTTAAATCCATTTCTTGGTGCTCGATTGTCGGCGATTATCGTTAGTTGTAGTAAAAGTAACCTAACGTAAACTTAAAAACAAGTACAGAGGAACCTCTTTTCAGGGGACACCCTTGGGACCAAGGTAAGTGTAACCTGAAAAGAAATGTCCCCTGAATGGAGGTTGGGCTAAGATTTGTTAATAGTGGAGCGTCCGCGCGTGCGAAGCGCGCGAGCAGCGGGGACCCATACCTAAAGGAAAATGGAGTCCTATCGATGCCAGAAAAATTTGGTTCAAAATTATCGTGTTCTTGGACGACCGCCACAAGAGCGATTTTGGTAAAGTTGGCTAAAATGGCGAAAATAGTGATCTAATTTGAATATTTTGCAATGTCATGGAAAATTGAGGCCAAATTCCCCATTTTCGTGAGATTTTCCATTTTTGTCTACTTCGCGACTATACGGGGAGTGCCTCTTGTAAACTCATTTAAACTTTCGCCAACCCTCAGGCAATTTTTTGGAGAGATTCACCCTTTGGCCATGTCCGCAAAATTCGTCAATTTCGTTACTTCTATCTAAGGCTTTAGCTAATTTTAGCCATTTTCGGCAAATTTGTCATCTCCTTCAAAATCGCCTTTGCGATTTCTCGCCATTTTGCTTCTTCTTTTTTTTCTTGGGGGGTACCCTTTGCCTCCTCACCGGACTTGCAGGTAAGGCTTTGGAGATTTTTCGCTATTTTGGTCAACGTCATCATTTTCGTCAAAATCACCACTTTCAAAGGGCCTCTTTGCCATCTCATTGAAAATTTTGTTACGACTGGCGAATGTTCGCCATATTCGTTGCCAATTCCAAATTCGCCATTTTCGCCAAATATGCCACTTTCATCAAAATCGCAACTCTTAATGGGAACCCTTAGCTTTGTTATAACTTATTTGCCAAACTTGGCTAATTTGCGCCATTTTTGCCATTGGGCGCATTTCTGGACGTGAGTGAGTGAATCGGGCCTGAACGTTCTAAAAATGAAGTAGTAATTGATAAACGGGCACTTCCTTCTTTAGGGCAAAACTCTTGTGAAGGATTCCTTCGGGATCATCAACATTATTGCAGATGCCGTGTTAGCAATGAAAGTTGCAGATGAAGAAGTGACGCGGATCAAGACTGCAGAATTGTCCATGACATTAGGACGTCATACTCCAACTAAACTTGTTGGATTATCAATTGAAGGAGGGGACGGTAGATTTGTTTTACCAGATGGAACATTAGATTCCAGTACCGGTAACACAGCTTTCGTAGACTCTCAGGTAAGTTTTCATAAATCCTCTTCCTTTTCAAAAAATCCTCGATTAGCTTTTCTCCTTTCGAATGAGGACTGCCATCAACCTGCGCAACTCGAGAGATCATCAGTACGTGTATTTCACCCACGTAAAGCTGATCCGGAATCTGGATCCTGGACATTTTTGCTTGTGGAGGTTTGGTCAGTTCATTTAAAAATGTTGTCGCCAGCGCTTGGAATTCGGAATCCACAGCCTGGAATCCAGAATTCAGACTGTCTTGGACTACCTTACATAACAATCTCAAATACATGTGTTCATTACTCTTGGAAATAGTCTGTATTTTACAACGCCTTTTAGTATATACACACTCAGTGATCTTGGTGATTCGAGCAATCTGATTGGTTCGCTATGTCGGAGTATGACGTTATATTCTCCGCACTAGGCAGTGAATATAAAACAAAACAAAATCGCTGTCGTGAACTGGGTGTTTTGCCAAAGTCCTCGAGTAAGAATTTTTTGAAAATATAAGAATATCTTACTATTGACGATTTTGAAGGTAAGAAAAGACTTCATGGTGTTAATCAGCGTGAATTGTTGCGATGTGATTTACTGTAGCTGACCTTTTACACACTCGAATCAATGTTTTTTTTTATTATTATTTTATTTTATTTTATTTGCCACACAATAATTACAAAAAATAAAGGAAAAAAAAGAAGTGGCGAGGAGACCTGGCAAAAACAATAGGAGCTTATGAGAGGTTAGGCCTCCTCGAAGTACGGGTTAGAGCTGTCTAACATCAATTAAAGAAAAAATGGCGAAAAGTCGAAGATGGAAAGATTTATGAACTGTTTTCATATTTACTCAATAACTTAATCTTCAGTTTTTTTCTTAAAAGAGGAAAGGGATTGAGAGTTGATGACCTCGTTGTCAAGTGAATTAAAAAACTTAAGCCCTTGAAAAAAGGGCAAGAACTTCTTAGTGTTTGTGCGACAATACGGTAGACGGTAGGCCTGGGAATTTCTTGTGTTGTAAGAGTGGAATTGATTGCATCGGGAGAAATTGTTATTAAACCTTGGAAGTAAGACTGAATTTTTGCAAGAATACATAAATTGGCCCGGTTGAAGCAAATGGATATCATTTAATTTTAGTGTACCGAGGTCCTTAAAGATGGGGTTTGCATGAGCATTGAAATGTGATTTATTAATAATTCTAATAATGCCCTTTTGCAGGATAACAAGGCGGCGGAGATTGGTTTTGTAGGTCGAAGCTCAAACTTACTTGTAGTAGTAAAAATAGGGATAAACTAAGGAACAGTAGAGCATACGTAGAGACGTTTTAGGAAAAAAGAAGCTGCATCTAGATATTATACCGATTGACTTCGCAACTTTCTTTGCAACGTGTAATATTTCCGACTTCCAATTTAGGTTTTCATCCAAAATTACTCCTAGAAAATTTGTCTCCTTTACTTTAACAATATTTTGATTATCTAATATACTTATTTTAATATTACAAATTGAAAGCTTTTGTCTTGGTTTAAAGACCATAAATTTAGTCTTTTTAAGATTTACAGAAAACTTGTTTGCTTCAAATCAGATTGAAAGTTTGTCCATCTCCGAGTATAACATAACTGAAAGATAGTTCGGATCTTTATGTGATATGAATACATTGAACCCTGAGAGACCCCACAAGAGATTTCATTTCTTGACGAACGGTGGCCATTATATTCAACATATTGCTTTCTGTTTGAAAAGTAACTTCTTATCCAGTCTAACGCTAAGCCACGAATACCGTAATGTTCGAGTTTATCAAAAAGGATGACATGATTTACAGTGTCCAAGGCTTTTGAGAGGTCAGGAAAAACACCTACGGAAAATTCACCTCGGTCAAAGGCCGCGGAGATCTTGTCATGTAAGTCGATTAGCGCGAGTGCAGTAGAATGATTTTTCCTGAAGCCGTATTGGTTACTACAGAGAATGTTGAAATTCATCAGGTATTGCATTAAACGATTGTAGATAACTCTTTCAAAGAATTTTGAAAAGCTGGGAAGTACCGAGATAGGTCAGTAGTTGGGGAAAGCGACTGATCATCAGATTTACCATTACAGAGGAAAACGAAGGCGCTTTGTCACAGTTTTGTGAACTCGGGATTTCCTTGCAAGAGCAACTTTGCCTTATAAGTAGAAGTTAATTTTCAGAAAAAAGAGAAGGCAACATTTTCGAAAATTGTATATGCCAGCAAGTTCACAATGTAAAGAACACTGCATATAAACAACGCTGAACGAAACAAATAAAGCTCTGCGTTTCTACTCAAAAGGGGTAGTAATTAAAAATTTCGACATTTTCTTTCAAACTATTGATGCTAAAGCTTACAAAAAGATTAGAAACGTAACTATAATATGCCATGTTTGAAGATACTATAAGCATAAAGATCTAACTGTCACGCATCTTCTGTTTACGGCTGCATGTTCACGCATGAATTCACCCGTCAATCAAACCAATCGTCTTTAAGTGGTTACCTTACTGATTGTGATGAGATCATTTCGTGTGTATATGCTAAAACAATTATTCACCTCAGGTTCAGTCCATATTGTTGAACAAGACCGCTCTTGAAATCGGCGTTTAGTCTCACTTGCTTGGAGAGTAGATTAGAAATGAGGAAGTGATTAATTCTACACGAAACAGGATTTACTCGCTAAAGGTTTTTTACTTCCTACTTTATTTTATCGGCGGTCGAGTATTTCAGGATTGCTTTTTATATCGTATTCGACAAAATGTTCTGAATTGATTTAGTACGCGTGTTACCGACCACCGAAATTACGTCTACGGTCGCAGGCTATACGCGTGCATAGTTACACGAAAATTCAAGGGCCTCGATTCGAGAGAAATTACATCATTTCCGGAGATTAAAAAAAGTGATGAGAATATTTCTCGTCATTTCAATCATCGCTGAAAATAAACCGCATCCTCATCACAAGACGCATTTGCATACAATGAAAGTTTACAACACCCGACCAGTTAGTCTTATGCTAATTAAGATGCTAAGCGGCGAGACTAATAATCCCCTCGACTTTGTCTCGGGTGTTATTCAGCAATAAGAAGTTTGTCTTCGACAAATAATTGTTAAATTTATTTCCTTCCGATATCGCTAAGATTCAGAGTATCGTGATGCTCATTGGAGTGTAATGAAATTTGCTGAAAACACAATTATCTAAGCCTATACCATTGACGTGTTTCATGCACCATGTTCATGTCGTTTTTGTTTGTTTGTTTTGCTTTTTCAGATGCTCTCAATTCCATTCAATCCTTACACATGGGATGTCACAAGAGAGCAAGTGGACTCTGATATCTTAGCACTGGACTTGAAAGACGACGAGCGTAAACTGATCAAAGTATCAGGTCTCCCAAACGACGTCCTGATTGTTACACCACTGAAACCTGAACAGATCCCTTTACAAATCCCGCAGTACTTCACCCAGAATGATAATTTACGATTTCACCAGATAGATGTTAAGTACGAAAACACGTTGATAATGGTGGAGATGGCTTCAACAGATGAAAGAGTGACCCTTTTTGTTTACATGCGACACAGTCAACGGCCAACAACACAAGTGTATGATCTCAATGCCACTATCTCCAAACAGGAAACTTGCATTTGGTGGAATGCGCAGGAAAAAAGCTTTGAAGGAGCAAAGTGTTCTTCCAACAGATTTGCAACCGTTCCAATAGAAACAGTTGTCAGGCAACCTGGAAGGTACTTTCTAGGGATTCAAAGTAATGACACCAGTGTGACCTCCCTGAGGAGACAAAAGAGATCATGCTTCGGAAATGGACGTAAAAAGCGATCATGTGTGCAAGTGAAAGATCTCCCTCCCACTCCCCCTCAGGGCAAAAATGTATCTTTAGTACCCATGTATGACCCGACCATCTCAAGGAACTACACTATGAGGGTGGCCTTGGGGAGCTGTGTGTTCTGGTCAGAAGAGCAGGAAAAGTGGACGGCAGAAGGCTGTCAAGTAAGTAATAACTGATGACGGAGCTATTTTTTTTATTGGTGTTGGAACTAGGGTTGGTTGCTAAGTGTGAATTGTTAAGCCTCGCAGTAACGAGCAATACATGCATGCTTTTGCCGTCTCCACTTTCATCCATGCCATCTTTTGGCTTCCTATGTGTCGTTTGTGATCTTGTGCAGTTGTATAATGTAGTTATTTTGATATTTTTTGTGATCAGCTGGGAAATTATAGCATGCCCTTAAATTGCACAACCCATGAATTAAAAGTTCATTAATGAACCAATTTTGACATGTTAAAAAAATTCATAACTTTCTCGAGGCTTGAAAGAATAATTCAAGAGAAATCGCCTTGAGGTTCATGGAAAAATTTTGTTTGTTGTCCAGATTCCCCAAGCCTCCGAGCCAAGTATGAATTTGAAGATATTTCGAACTTGATCTATTGACCTAACATGAAAACTTGGTTTAAAATTTTTCATTCTTTATTCCATAGGTTTTGTCAGCAACGTTAAATGGATTCCTGAACTGTTCATGTAATCACCTGACCTCCTTTGGGGGTAGTTTCTTTGTAAAACCCAATCCCATCGACTTTGATCAAGTGCTGGTACAGTTCAAGAGACTTGCAGATACAGGAAATGTCGCGGTTATAGTAACCGTGGCAGTGGTATTCATGTGCTACGTTTTTGTGATTGTTTTCGTCCGAAAAGCGGATCAGCAAGACACCAGAAATGTAAGTACTTATTAGGTAACTTAAATAATGCAACGACCACTTGGAAAAACACTGCAGTAGTATGTAGCTGGATCTTAGTGTAAACCAGACCGAGCAATGAAAAATATTAAACCGAAGTCAAGACTCATCGGACAGCTCAAACAGAGAGGTATTTTTTTATCACCATGAAGACGATTGAACGGCCCTTTAAAATGAACTGGCCGTACAGTATTATTCAAAACTATGTTTTCCAGTTCTCTTAATTCTTTTAGTGAAGTCTTACTTCTTTAATAATGTATGACTGAGCGATTATCAAAACACCATGCTCTATAATCATCTATAATGTAAATTTATGCGTACAACGGCATCGCAGAGGCGCAGAAGAGTTAATTTTTCTAGTTTTGGGGGTGACGGTAGGTTGCAGTGCGGAGCCTTCGATTAAGGCTTCGGTAACTCATTTGGCACGACGGAATCTAATCAATAGCAGGTACCCATTCAGATCTCTGAGAATGTTTTTGATGGCAACCAATTTCTTGTTTCTGGCCTTGCAGACATGAATAATTAGAACAAACCAATGCAAAAAAAAGTAAATTATACCTCGTTCTCACATAACGTCACGATGGCAATATCAGTAATCCAGAAAAATGTAACGGCGGCCATGTTGGTGTTCCAAACCAATCCTGTTGGATTTTGTCAATAAACACTTTCTTTTGTTCCAAAAAATTTAAATAGATGCTGGTCACCAGAGTGAAAACGCTTGACACGTACAGGACACTGGAAGCTTAACAATGAGGGGAACAAAAACACACAACACTTTTCTTTTCTTTTTTGTTTTAGAATGGCTCTCCAGTTGAGCTGCCAACAGGATCAAACAGTTCGCACGAATATGAAATAACAATAATAACAGGAGTCTGGAGGAACTCTGGAACAACAGCTAAAGTTGCTATAGAGATATACGGCTCTGAAGAAAGCACCGGAAAGGTTCTGCTCAACAACATGGAAGATGCGCCGACGGGCACACTTTTTTCTAGAGGAAATAGGGACGTTTTTGTTCTTAAAGCTGAAAAATCGCTCGGCTCTATTGAAGGGGTGAGGTTTGGGCACGATAACTCTGGAAATAGCCCTTCGTGGTTTCTAGAGGAAATCATTGTTCTTGACAAACAAACGCTTTGCTCTTGGACATTCACAAATACTCAGTGGCTAGCTCTTGAGAGAGGAGATGGTAGGATTGAAAGGATGTTGGAGACAGAACAAAATAAAATGGATTTCAAAAGCGAGGTTTTGAAGCGATGGTGGAAAGGACTCACAGAGAAGCACATATGGGTCTCAGTTATAGCGAAGCAAAGGAGAAATCGCTTCACACGAGTACAACGGGCGTCATGCTGTCTTTCACTGTTATTGACAGCTATGCTTGCAAACGCCATGTTTTATGAACTGGACGGAAAATCTGAAAATGTGATTCAGGTCGGACCTTTGAAATTCACTTGGAGACAAGTAGTTATTGGTATCGAAAGCGCGCTCATTGTTGCCCCTATAAACATTTTCATAGCTTTCCTGTTTCAAAAGGCTGCCAGAAACGCCGAGAGTCAAACCCGTGTTTGCTGGAAAGCAAAGTGTCTCATTTACTTCGCCTGGTTTTTATTCGTTTGTTCATGTTCTGTCTCAACGACGTTTACCATCTTCTACAGCTTGCTCTGGGGAAAGGAAATCAGTGAGCAATGGCTGTCTTCCATGTTTATCTCTTTCACCCAGGATGTGGCCATCACTGAGCCAGTCAAAGTGTTCTTTACCGCAATAGTACTGTCAGCTATGATAATCAGAAAAAAGAGAAAGAAAGATGGTAACGAATACGTAAAAGAGGCTAAAACTCGAACTTCAACAAAAGGACATTTATGGAAGATGAAGCTGAAAGAAGTAGAGGAGATGAGAAGGCGTCAGGCGAAAAAACAAAATATATCTCGGTTCTTTGTGGAGCTTTTAATCTACCTTATTTTTGTTTTCTTGTTGATGGTTGTTTGTTATGGTAGCAGAAATGAACATCGATACATGATGAAAAAATCCATCACAGAAGGACTGCCAAGATTTGAAACAGTAAGTAAAATTTTCTTAAAAATACTGCTGAAATATTTTCTCTTTTCTTCTATGATTGCTTGCTGGGAAAAAGTATCTTTCCGTTTAGCGGCAGAAAACCGGGATCATCGTTCACCAGATCCTCTAGCTGGGCCTGTGGGATTACTTCCTGGTTACTATATTTGAGCTAACAATATATCAGAGGGTAAGAATTTCAGAACTGCCACTGGAACAAGCCCAATGGCTGATTCCCTTAAATATGGTAGGAGACTACTCGAATCGTTTCTGTGAGGATATGAAAAGCGCACTGTTTTAGTGGTAAGCGAAAGAGAACGATTTGGGCCTCTGACGGCTCCGTCAAAACACAGTTTAATACACCCCGCCCCCGGGAAATAAAGCCGCGATTTTCCCTAGTTTAGCCCTTGCATAAGTAACAGGAAAAGTAGTCAGATTCTTTTCGCAGCAAAGATATGTTTGCGTAGTTGCTTTGACTTTGTTGAAGCCTCAAGAGTGTATGCGTTCAAGGAGATTACCAATGTGAACCAAAAACAGAATAGATGGCGTCTTTTTCTCTACATGCCACTAACTGATTGATTGATTGATTGACTGATTTGCATTTGCCGTTTTTCCTTCTAGCATGGTAGAACTCTTTTTTAACAAAACTAGTACACGAACCACGACAATTTTTTGTTCATTATTTTCGCTTTTTTGTTTTTGGGATACCAGGTTTTTAACACGAAGCAGTACTGGAGCTGGGTCAAAAATGTTTTTTTGCCGGGTGTATTTACTGGTAGATGGTACAACGGACGTCCCGAGAATCAAACCATGTACATCGGAAATAAACGTTCAGTCCTGGTAGGAATGGCTAGAGGAAGGCAAGTTAGAGTTCAACCTGGTGAGTTTGGACATTTTTTTGAAAATTAAGCAAAAAAAGAAAAATTTGCGTCATGTCATTCTTTTTAAAATGCTCTCATAAAGTGCGAAGAAGTGGTCATTTTCCCCGCGTATTGGTAAACACCGGTTGTAGACGCATGCGCAGAAGGAGTGGACAATTTCGACCCCAGTGCTTACGCAATCTGACTCTCGAGATTGCGACGTAGGTCATTTTTCCTAATAGTTTTGCATCATCATTTTATATTCTTGGAGGCAGCTTAAATGTGAATCTGATACTGCTGTCAGGAACTAATACAGCAAACGCAGCCGTTTACAAAAACAACAACTGCGCTTGTTTATGTTTGTTTGTATACGTAATAATTGCCAACGAGCAGCTTCGCGAAGACGCGAGGCTGCGAGGCGAAAGCCCAATAGAGCCATGCGCGATTGTTCCAGGGGTAGAAAAAATCTCGAATCGATGTAACATAGGGTAATGTAAGGCAACCATGACGTAAAGCAGAACAGAGAATGCATTCAATTCAAAGTAGACAGACTGCAAATTATCTTACTTGCTAAAAAATATATATCTACGTGTCGCAACTGTTCATCAGTAGGATGCCTAAAATGCGTGCAATTCCACAATTGGTTTCGGCTCCATTAAATCCTATACCAATTGCAGAACATTTTAGGAGCCACCCACCATGTTTTCGGGCGAACACGTGATACAGATCAGAGAATCCAAGAGCTGTGTGGGTGTTTGTGAGTCCCGTGCTCATGCCGTCTTCAACCAATCGTCAGGTTGATCATTTCCGCCCTACGCGATATCTGTCGCATTTGCCCTCTGGAATTTTTTATTGCATGCCGCTAAGAAAAATAATAATGCTGCCACTGCCCGCGTGATATGGCCATGCGCATGCGTGAGGTACTGGCCCGGCTGTGGGTTGGTGTATGTGTGCCCCTTGCTTTAAGTTTGCACGATTTTTAATGCAATCGAATTAAGTTCAATCTATTTTTCATCAATTGCTGTATTTCAGGACATTTCTAAACAAATTCAACAGCGCGCGCGTATAGGTAAAATCTTTGCTCGTTGACACTTAGCGATAGCTATAACTAGTAATATACATGTATGTAAAGAAAAATAATAGCTTTCTGCTGGCAGAAGAAAATCTAAGCGAAAAAAGGGGTCGCATACTTAAGTACGATATGAAGGAACTGAGGGAAATTTATGTCCTTACTCCAAACCTTGTCGAAATTATCTATACTCATTTGATACGCTCCTTTTCTTTTTAAACATTTGCAGGGACTTGTGATGTTTTGAATTACATGAATCATATGTTTCCTGTTTGTTACGGCGGGTACTCACGCTTAAACGAAGATAAGACATCCTTCAACAAGCCAGGTTGGAAACCTGTCGACAACTCCACGAATAAAGACGAACTTTTCCGACTTTGCCCAAAGCCTTGGAGATACCAAGGTGCCGAGGATACGGACACGGTTCCTAAGTGGGGACAGTTCTCTTTTTATCCTGGAGGAGGTTTCGTGGCCGACTTAGGTTATGAAAACTCGACAGGCTTTACCCTTATAGAAACACTACAAAGCAACAACTGGCTCGACAGGCGAACCAGAGCCATTATATTAGAATTTTCCTCTTTCAATCCATCTGTTAATTTACTTTGCATCGCGACGTATTTCTATGAGGTAGAGGCTTCCGGATACAGCGCTTCAGTCACAAGAGCCGAAGTGATTTCATTGGACTCAACAGGGGCTGGTTCGCAACAATTTTACCTCATCTGTGTTCTGTTCTTTATCATATTTGTCGCTTTGTACCTCGGAAGAGAGTGCTACAGACTGTACAAACAACGTTCTCGATATTTTAAATCTTTATGGGGTTGGGTAGAAATTTTCCAAGTAATATTTTCTTTGTTGGCTGTAGTAATATACATCGTGAGATCCAAAAAGGCGACCTCTAAGATTCAGGAACTACAGAAAAACATTTACGCAAACGTAAATTTCCAAGAAAACATTATTTGGCTTGAAACAGAGAACACTGTTCTGGGAATTCTAACATTTATCGTCACTGCCAAACTTCTCAGACTTATTCGCTTCAACCAGCATGTTGTCGTGTTTTCAAAAACACTGAAGACATCTGCACGGCTGTTGCCATCCTTTACCGTTCTTATGTTGATATGCTTTACTGCCTTTCTGCATTTCGGTGTTTTGATCTTCGGGACGGGTTCGAGGCATTACTCGTCGATACTCACAGCCACGTATTTTCAACTTGAACTGACTCTGGGGCGCGTGAAAGCGAGACCCATCAATGAACTAACAGATGCCAACGACACTTTTGGAAGAATTTTTGCCGTCTTACTTCTCTTTACCCTGACGATAATGGGCATGAAT